CCAGCACCAAAGCTCAAAGGAATCCATTCTCCTTCTATCCTCCCTAGTCATTGTCCAACTCTCTGATGCATAACAAGTGATTGCATCTTTAGTGGTGCATAATATGAACAAGTGTTCATCTTTAGTGATGCATAATATGCCACTAATTCTTGATAAATTTTTAGTGAATCACAATAGTCTATCTACTATATGAATGTACAACAGTTTCTCTGACCACTTGTCCACTGATGAGTACTTGGATGACTTCCAGTTCTTCTCTGTTATAAAAAGTGCTACAATAAATGTCAGTTTTGTGTCACAGCTTTGGTATATCAACTTAGTTTTGGGATTGCTGAATAAAATGGTATTTTTGTTACCAACTATTAAAGAAGCACCAAACTGCTTTCCATAGTGATTGCACTGTTTTTACATTCCCAACAGAAGTGTATGAGAGTGCCAGTATCTCTATACCCTCACCAGAATTTGCTGTTTGATGTCTTATTAAATGTTACAACTTTTACTGGTGGAAATCCATGATCAGCACCATTGGTACCAGCAGTCAGGAGATCAGGAGACAGTGTATTGAGCAAATCTGCTGCCAGGGACCTCTCCAAATTCCTGAGGAACAAGATGTCAGTTTGAAGACTAAGGTATGCTTAATTCAGGCCATGATCTTTGTAGTTACTTGCTGTGCATCTGAGAGCTAGACAATGAGTAAGGACAACAGAAGATGGATTGATTGTGGTACTGGAGATGAGTACGGAATATCCCATATGCTAAAAAAAAAAAAAGATGTCTTGGAGAAAGTGCAACCAGAGTGTTCCTTAGAGAGAAGGATGGCAAAATTTTCTCTCACATATTTTGGACATGTTGTGAAGGGAGACTGTTCCTTGGACAGAGATATCATGTTGGGAAAGGTAGAGAGGGTCAGTGAAAGAGGGGAAGAACCCGATGATAGGGATTGATACAGTGACTGCAGTGATGAGCTCAAGTACGTCAGAGGTCAAGCTACTGCTCACAGGGTTATACTCAACTTGACAGCAAAACAAATAATTAACTAACAAAACAACAATTATTACTTGAGTGAGACTATATCTTATTGCTGTTTTGATTCGCCTCTGTTAGTTAATATAATTTTTTGATGTGGTTTATATTTTAAATTTATGAGTTTCATGAGAATGAAGTTATAAAATTAGTTTGACAATATTCAGCTGCCTACTAGTTGGCTTTCTGAATTAAAAATAGTGAGAATGATATTTTTGCATCAAATATTGTTCCTTGAATCTAGATGTTACCAAATTCCCTGCGTAAAAAGTTAGAGATTTTCCAAAATATTTTCAAGTTGTTAATATAGGTGAGGAAAATTTTCACTTTTAATACATACATAGACACTATCGTGTGTCTCAGAGTACCAAGAGATGCAAATGGTTAGTGTACTTGCTGCTAATTACACAATTGAGGATTTAAATTTACAAAGAGGCATCTTGAAGAAAGGTCTGGCTATCTACCTCCAAAATCCACCCCTGAAAACAGCATGGAGTACAGTTCTACTTAGACATCCATGGGGGTCCTGCTGAGACAATACACTCAATAACTACTGGATAACTGATTTTGACCTTGACTATGTGATAAATAGACACAGAAAACCTTGAAGACAAATATAATAATGCTCATAAATCTGAAAAATGTGAACTTCCCTTCAAAAGACAAAGTAGCAGCATTACTCAATTTAGAGATTCTAAGAAAGTGTTCTGAATGCACAAATATACACTAAGTGTACTTAGAGGAAAAGGATTAGCAAAATAAAAAGGGAGGATTATGTGAACAAGCACAATAATGGGTGACAAAAAAGGGTCTTTTTGTAACTTTGTACTCACTATTTTACATTAAGAAGAAGAAATACGGAGACCCTTTAGCTAATAATTAATACATCATGACAAGACTAAACACATTACAAAGCTGACAATAGACTGAGCAGGAGGTGGACAGAACTGGATAAATATAAAATAAAAGGCTGTGTAAACAATGGGGAGAACCAAATGAAATGGATTGATACAGTGACTGCAGCAATGAGCGCAAGTGTGTCAGAGATGATGAGGATGGCACAGGACAGGAAGGGTTCAATCTGAAAATAAAAAATTCTATGCAAAAAAAAATGTATTCTAGCAAAAAGCTGAATGAAGATTTTTTTCCTCACTCTGGCACAATTTTCTCCTCTTTTCAGTTTATATTTTAACTATTTCTTTTTATAGAATGTTTAAATCAGTTTCACCATAAATGCATTTCACAAATGCTTCCTCTAAATAGCTCTGTGCGTAGTTCCTACCTGGCATAGTTCCCGGAAGTGATTCTTACTCTTCAAGAAAATGGATATAAGATATATAGCATTACAATCAAACAGCTTGATTTACTTTGCAGAATTAAGGAATGAAAATGCCTGCTTCATTCTAGACAACATATAATATATCATACAGTAGAAAGAATGAGAGCATTCATAGTAATAATTTAGAAATCTAAAAAATAGTAATAATTTAGAAATCTAAAAAAAGTAAATGGGCAGAAGTAGAGAAACCACCAGATGAGACTGTTCACACATTTAACGAATGTAACCAGTGTCACTGAACAGTTTGTTCAAAGGGAACCTAAACTGTTGTGTACACCTATACTGAAAACACATACAATATTATGTTTAAAAAAATGTATATTGGTATTATGGCAAGGTTGTGGAGTCAAGTGCTTTTGGGGGCTTCTGTTTGACGTGCAGGACTGCCATCAGGACTTCCCGCGGCCCTTGGGCCGGGTTCAAATTGTTTTCCTATCAAACACTCTTCTAGATGGTATAGCATTGGTCTCTGCATTCCTGTACAGAGGTAACTCGTGGCTGCTGTGATGCTGAACACTGTGACACTGATGTGCCAAGCATAGTAATGGTTACCCATGGTGGACAGTGTTTGCTGGAGCTTCCCTACTAAAACAAGCCTGGAAGCAGAAGAGGCATCCACTTCTGAAATGGCTTGCCTTCAGAAACTCTATGAACAGTGCTCAGGCCTTTCATTCATAGGGTCGCTATGAGTTATCTATGACTCGACAGCACCTAACAACAGCAAACAACATATTGGAAGAACATTATCGGTAAGAAGTAGATCATTCGGTTGGATAGAAAGCAAGACTGAACTGTATAGTGAATTCAGGAAGTCTAAATTAAGCATAAAGATAGGCTAAAAGTAAAGGATAGAAAAGATATATCATGCTAACTAATACTAATCAAACACAAAAGGGTACATAATATTTGTGATTCCATTTATGTGCCACTATAGATAAATAAAAATTACAGTCATAAAAAGCAAAAGAGTGTTTGTCTCAACCCAGGCGGTCGGGGAGGGTAGTGATGACCAATGGCTTAAATGTAATTCCCACCCCCCACCCCCAAGAGATAGAAGTGTTCTGTACCATAATTGCGGTGAGAGGTATAGTACACATTTGTCAAAATTCATCAAAACTTACACTTAAATTGGTAAATTTTAATGTATGGAATGGCATCTACTTTCTAAACCTCATGCCTCTGAAAACTCTATGAACTTGGAGAAACGAAGATAGTAATGAAAGGCATTAGGTCTTTTGTTCATGGAGTCGCTATGAGTCGTGTTTGACTCAACAGCAGTCTAACAACAGCAACCTGTCAATTACACCTTAATAAAATGATGAAAGGAATAAGACAAAGATCGAAAGAAGTTAAGCATATCTGTTTTCAAAATATGCAATTGCCTCAGTAAAAAGAATTTGTACTGAACTTAACATTTTACCCTCATCATACAAAACATCTTAGCCATTTTTTCCCAATCCCTATTGTAAGTCCATGCCCGCTCTCTAGCAGTATCTTTTTTTTTTTAATTCAAGTAATTTGTTTACCAAGCTTTTGTACAAAACAAGAATAACCACATTCCAAATAAATGTTAGCCCTAGCCAATGCTAATGAAATTTACATGAAATGACATTTACATGAAATGAAATGAAAGAAGAACTGCCCTTGGGCAGGGGAAACTTGCTTTCTGATAGCGACCTCTCCCCTTCCTGACTTCACTTGCTCCATTCTAGCCACATCTTCTTTTTGCTGTTTAAAGCCCCACCCAACCCTCTGCACTTCGTCTGGTCTTGAGTGTCTCAGTTCCTCATCTTCACTAAGGAAGACTCATTCTATATCTTATACTACCTCTCCTCTAGTTGGTAAAGGCAAGGGTACATAGAGTGTTAATGGTGAGTCTTTGAGGACACAAAAGATAGAAGTAAACATCCAAACCGCAGGGGATAGGCACTCTGAGACACCAAGACCTGGAAAAATCAGATGGGATACTACGTAATAAAGAGACAAACAGGGCTGAGGGTGGCAGTCATTGAAATAAAGAGATGTGATGGAACACTTGTAAGCAAAACAAAATAGTGTTTAAACAGCTCTGAGTTTTCATGTGTCTCATGCTACTAGGAAGATGGCAATACATGAGGGTGTGTCATAAACACCATAGGAAGAAACAACACCCATCCTCATCTTCTGAGATGCCTTTACTGATAAAAAGTGACTCAAAAGAAAGAAACGTTTTTAAAGTTTCTCAATTCTTTGATTATATTGAAATAATTATTTAGCTATCCTGGAAAACTTGTTAACCCTAAACTGGTTTAGGAGTAACACTTTTCACTCACTTCACATCATGACAGTATTTGGGTATACCAAAACCCAAACCAAACCCACTGTCACATTGCTGCTGACACATGACCAGAGGCTACAGATAGTAATGGTAGGAAACTGCCCATCTTTCTCCTTCAGAAAAGCTAGTGGATTAATGGCCCTGCACATTACCACCTTGCCAGAAATAGAGATATGCAAATCCTTCCAAATAAATAAATTTCTCTAGAGAAAATCCTATTTAACAAGCTCATTTTAGTCTCCCTCAGATTTGGAAGTGACAAAAGGGGTTGGGGAAGTCTTCAGAAACTAACCTGATACCATGATGGCTTTTCTTCCCCAGGTGCTGGTTACCTTGACCGGACGTCCCCTGAGGAGAAGATGGACGATGCTGTAGCTCCAGGCCAAGAGTACATTTATGAATGGAAGATCACGGAGGACAGCGGACCCACACAGGATGATCCTCCATGCCTCACACACCTCTATTACTCCTATGAAAATCTGACACAAGACTTCAACTCTGGGTTGGTTGGACCTCTGCTTATCTGTAAGAAAGGTAAAAAAGAAGAGAGAGTGATTAAATGACTAAATAAATGTTGGCATGGTTAGAAATGTAATTTTAAAATAAGGCTTCACGGCATCTTAGTACCTTTTTATACATAGAGTACAGAAAACCAAAAGCTGACTTTTTGTGTTCCAAACCTACTTTTATCTCAGTCCTAGGATCATCTTAGTCTCAGGGATTCCAGGTGGATCCCTGCCTGAGTGTATGGTCTGTTGCCATTACATGTGATCTGTAGCATTCACCTCAATGCCAGTCATTTTGGTGGCTTAGTAGATAAGGAGCCGTGCTGCCAATCTCAAGACTTTTGGTTTGAATCCACCAGCTACTCCACAGGAGAAAGATGGGAAGTTACCTCCCATGCTATTTACTATCTCTGAAAACCTGCTGGAGAGTAAACTATAGATCAATTCCAATTCAATGGTACATAACAGCAGCCATCTGTGCTCAGATGCACTTGAAAAAAGGAACCATCTGAACTACTACTACTAAACAATCTGGCAGAGCTAAGAGTTGGTTTGGCAATTTTATCTACAAACATATGAAACCAGCATCCTTTTATAAATACATTGGACACTATAGGTGAAAGGTTTCAAACATATTCCATTTCATGTGGGAGAAATTTTACTAGCTGGGCTTTTTAGGAACAAGCTTTTTACTCCAAGAGAATTCAGTCCATCTAGTCTGCAAACAATGATTACACCCTGAGAGGTAATGTGAGAGATTCACTACTGGTTTACATGTTGTTGACTGCCGTGGAGTCGAGCATGACTCATAGTGACCCTGTCTATAACTGTCATCATTTATCAAAGTTCATAGAGTTTCCAGAGGCATGCTGTATAGGAAGTGGATGCCACTCCTGCTTTCAAACTTGTCTTAAACTGAGAGCTCCACCAAACACTGTCCACCATGGGTAACTGCGATGGCATTTGACATCACAGTGACACAGGATTCAGCATCACAGTACCCCAGGTTACCTCAGTACAGCATATTGACAGAAGAGTGCTGTATCACTTAGAAGAATGTTCCTCCAAAATATAGTAACAGCCACTTTCAAATACAAAGGCCCTCCTGGTGTCCTGTTGACTCTAAACAAGAGGCTTAAATAAAAAAAACAACCAATATAGTATGTTGTTGTTAAGTGCCATTGAGTTGCCTGTGGCCTATATTGACCAGTTTACATGAATATACATGTAGTATATTTGTATACATTCCTATTTCATAAGCATTACACACTCTTTCATTGCCTCATATATAAAAAACAGTTTGATAACTTTGAAAAATATTAAAACTTATAGTTGTTCCTTTTACCACCTTGTGTGGGGTTTTTTCCTTGTCATGTAAGAATGGATTATCCTCTATCAACCAATTCTATGATGTTTGTGACAAACACAAACAAGATGGTTAGGTTAAATATGAGGTGTAGTTTTTGCTAAAAAGTATCTATACATTGACAATGGAGGAAATGAATACTTGTACTAGAATCTTTTTTCAGAACAAGTGTGATTTACTGCCTCTCAAGACCCGCTAGAGGGTCAGCTATGAGACTGTTCCGACTCGATGGCACACAACCACAACTACAATAGAATCTTAACAATTGTCAAATGCTTTAATTGTATAAGATAAAGTGTATTTCCCCAAACTGCAGAATACACCAGAGAAAATACTTAATGTAGCATCAAGATTTTAATCTTTCTCATTGCCATGGATTTGGAACCAACTCATATTGACCCTCCATTGGGTTTACAAGACCATAGTTTGCACAGAAAGAGATTGTTCATCTATCTCCCGAGGAACTGCTATTGGATTCCAATCACCAGAGATTCAGATTAGCAATGCAACTCCCTGCAGATTATGCCAGCAGAATTTAAAAATGGGGTTTTAGAAAACAACTATGAGCTATCATCTCACCCCAGTAAGAATAGCAAAATTTAACAGAACAGCAAGCAACAAATGCTGGCAAGATTGTGAAGAAACTGGAACCCTTATTCACTGTTGGTGGGAGTGTAAAATTGTGCAACCACTGTGGAAGGTGGTGTGGCGCTTTCTCAAAAAGTTGCAAATAGAGATACCATTTGACCCAGTAGTTCCACTACTGGGAATATACCCCAGAGAGACCATAACTGCCACCCAAGCAGATATATGCACACCCATGTTTATCGCAGCTTTGTTCACAATAGCAAGAAGTTGGAAACCACCTAAGTGCCCATCAACAAATGAATGGATAGAGAAACTGTGGTATATTCACACAATGGGATACTATGCTGCATTGAAAAACAGGACCTCATGCAATATTAATCAAAATGGGTGACCCTGGAGGACATTATGCTGAGTAAAATATCTCAGTCACAAAAGAACAAATACTGCATAATGTCACTGTTGTAAAACAGGATAGACATCGGGGTTGTGGGGAGACAGAAAAGATGGGATAAATAATGTGTACTGCATTGAAACAGATGAGGGAAAAAACTGTTTAAAAGGGATATGTGATTAGGTATTATTGTCATGACAGGAGTCCAGAATGAAGGCTGCATAGTGGAGTGGACCTGGGGAGAGGGATTGTAAAACAATGAAAGAATTTTTGTTTTACTTTTCAAAGAGAAGAGTGTACTGTGGGGAGTGGTGGGCAGGGAGAAAGGTGCAACAATGAATGAATGGAAATTCAAAGTCAGTAAATTTTCATTAAAATTAATAATAATGTAAAAAGGTATCCAATCATTTCATACTTATATATGAAATGATTGAACAATTTTTAAATTCTATATATTATGGGATTTTAATAGGTCCTCCTTTAATAGTTATTATTTGATAAATATTTTAAATTACGAATTAAAAATTGATAACATTATTATTTGTCACTTGTCTTGAACTCTTTACTATCTAGGAATAGTTGGACACTGTTGAAAAGTGTGTCTTTTCTCTTATAGGCACCCTAACTACGGATGGGATTCAGAAGATGTTTGACAAGCAACAAGTACTAATGTTTGCTGTGTTTGATGAAAGCAAGAGCTGGATTCCAACATCATCCTTAATGTACACAGTCAATGGCTATGTGAATGCGACAATTCCAGGTAACATGGAGGCTGTGCACTGTCCAACAAGAGAAGAGGTGCCTTGGGACCCATTGTTTTTTTCTCAAGGCACAAGGAAAATCAACTACATTCACTGTTGTGTCAGCTCCTCAACAGAAAAGTATTGTAATCCAGTTCTGTGGTTTTTTTTAAACTTTGGTCATACATCGTTAACCAGCAAGTAAAATAGACAAATTGGAAGTCAGCTAAAATAAGGAGAAAGTAGCCATTTAGGAGTTATACACTAAGAGTTACTTTGCCTGTACCTCTAGGAAGAAGTCTTCAAGTTCTGTGGTCTTTGCAGCATGGCTACATGCTTTCTTCTACATACAAAACAAGAGTGTAAGGTCAATCGCCAGCTGGAACGGCCAGTAGGAAGAATGTAATAAAGACACAGAAAATTAGGAGAAAGCTCCAATATATAAAAATATTATGAGAATGTCCAATAGGGTGTTCAAGTAGCTTAGTGGTAAGGAATTGCACTGCCCATCCAAAAAAACAAGGTTACAATCTGCCAGCTGCTTCACAAGAGAAATATGGACAATCTCATCCTGTGTAATTTGTTGTTGTTGCTGATTGCCGTTGCGTCAAACACAGGTCATAATGACCCTGTGAACAAAAGACCTGAAGCCTTTCTAGAACTATCGTTGTTTCTCAAAGTTCTTAGAGTTTCCAGAGGCATGTTGCTTAGGATGTGGATGCCACTCCTGCTTCCAATTTTAATTACTAGGGAGAAAATATCTAGAAGTAGAATTGTTTGGTCATATGGTGAACTAATGTTTAAGTTTTAAAGAAATTGACAAATTCTTTTCCAAAGTAATTGGTTATAATAATAACCTATCAATGTTCAAGTTTTGAATATTCTCATCAACATTTACTGCTTATTATCTTATAAACATAAAAATTAAATATTTGTAAGAGGTTTACTGCCTCTGAAAACCCAGTGGAGGACCAGACAGATTCCAATTCAGGTAATTCCATGTCTGCAAAATAGAACAGCTCAGTGGGGTTCCCCAGGCCCTGACCTTACTGATGCAGATTTCCAGGGCTGTTTTCTGAAGTATGTTGTTCAAACTGCCAGCCTGTCAGTTTGCAATCATTTATGCCAACCAGGGACTCCCTGTTGCAATTATGTCTTTTTAAGAAAAGACAAGCCCATCCATAAATAAAGGACTAGTTCTCAGGTCCATTACTTATTTATCTAGCAATTATGAATCTGAAATTTAAAACTGGAGCCCAGGGTAGAAGCCAGGGTTGGCATCTCCCACAGAGCAACTGGACATTTTCCCAGCCACCATGAGAGCAATGAAGGAGCAGAGCTAATTATTTGCACTCAGTTCTCACCCCTCTAGTCACAGAAAGCTCCAGGGGCCCAGAGTAATGAGAATGTGTCCATAGCATTTTAAGGATAATATGTCAATAGGACAGTCGACAAGTGGATGAAGAAGCAATGGAAGATTCTCAAAGGGCTGTCACAGTTTCTTCCTCTATCCAGAGGGCGAAGGCCTTGCACTCAGCCCTGTTTGTTGCCCTGCTGGTTCCCTCTTGCTGAGCCCGGCTTCATTGTAGGGTGACCAGCCATGCACATTTGCCTAGGACTTTCCTCACTTTAATGTTGAAGACTTGTATCCTAGGAAACACCTAAATCCTGGGAAAACCAGGATGGTTGGTTTCGCTACTCAGTCTCCTTCTTGGCTTAATCCCTAGCAATCTCTGAGTTTCTGAGCTAACTTCTGGCCTCTGTGGAACTCTGTTTTTACCTTTGTAATGTCCCCTATTGCAATGAGTTGTGACTTACTGTTTCCTATTACTTAACTGACTGCTTTTCCAGGGTGAGAAGCTTGCTCCAAGCCTGATGCATAGCAGGTGCTCAGCATAGGTTTGGTAAGTGAATTTTTCATCTCACAGAACTAATCCACAGACGACTGACTTGTCTGTTATGGTCTGTCTCTCCCTTTTTCTCAGATATAACAGTTTGCGCCTATGACCACATCAGCTGGCATCTGATTGGAATGAGCTCTGGGCCAGAATTGTTCTCCGTTCATTTCAGTGGGCAAGTCTTGGAGCAGAACCATCACAAGGTCTCAGCCATCACCCTCGTCAGTGCCACATCCACAACAGCAAACATGACAGTGAGCCCAGAAGGAAGGTGGTCTATAACGTCTCTCATCCCAAAACACTTTCGAGGCAAGGAAACTCCATACATGAACTTGTTCTTTCTTCTTTGCTTTTTCAAGCTACCTCAGACATGTATGCACTGGCCCCTGAGGACAGAATTTAGATTGCCTGCTATTTGACTAGAGGATCCTTGGTGTTATAGTAATATAACAGACTGTTAGGACCCAGTGGTTGAGACTGGGAGGAAGTTGAAAAATTGACAAAGAGAAAAAGTTAAGCAAAGGCCCAAGAGGTCCCTACTTCCTCGAAAGGAGAAATGGGGAAGAAAGTAAATGCATATACAGAGGTATTATTTTACAGGGTAGAGCTCTGGTGGCCTACTGGCAAGAAACTGGGCTGCAATCCCAAAAGCACCTGGTTCAAATCCACCAGCTGCTCCACTGGAGAAGAACGGGCAGTCTCCTCCGGTGTGATTAACTGCCTCTGAAAACCCACCAGAGGGTCCGCTATGGATCAGTTCTGACTCCATGGTACACAGCAACAACTCATTAATGTAGCAAAAAGAAAAGACCCTTAAACAAAAAATTTGCTTGCAAAGTTATAGAAGCACCAAGTTACTAGAAAAAGTGTAAGACCTTTACCATGGGGAGGGGGGATTGGTTTTATGATGAAATAAGCATAATGTCTGACGTATGGATGAGCTCTGTGAATGATTGTGGAATGGATTACATATAAGAGCTAAGAGTTGAGGTCTGAGTCTCAAAAAAACATCAGTGAATTCCAATGGGATGCGGGGAGGGAATCAACCCCAGTTTGCGTTGTGCTGCTAACTGAAGGCTACACAGCTCCCTTGATTCAAATCTACCAGCTGCTTGGGGAGAGATGGGCAGTCTCCTTCCATTAAGATTTACAGCCTCAGAAACCCAGTGGAGAGTCACTATGTGTTAGAGCCAACTAGAAAACAAGGAGGTTTTTAGTTTTAAATAAAACAACTAGTTCATCAACTGCATATTTTTGCTTTAAGACTACTGAGAGGAAGAAATATATTAAGAGACTAAAATGTATTCTTGTTGTGTACAATAGAGTCAAAGCTGAAGCATAGCTGGCCCATTAACAGGCTTGCAGAGGCAGTCAGTGCACAGGAGGAGATGGCCCATTCTTCTCCCACGGAGTGTTTGGGAGATTCGAACAGTGTCTGAATATAAATACATCACAGAAACTACATTTTTTTGTTTTTACAAATTGAGGGTTTGTGGCACTCCTGTATCAAACAAGTCTGTGAGGCCATCACAAATTTTCTAACAGGATGTGCTTACTTTTTCTATCCATGTCACATTTTGGTGATTCTCATAAAAAGTGAACATTTCTGTAATACTATTATGCACGTGATAAACTACACAATAGGAGAAACATAAGTTTGTAACTACTAGAAAACCAACATGTGACTCTCGTTTTGAGGAGATGTATTGCTGAGGTCTGGGGCAAACCTGTAATATCTCTGAGGTGCACTTATTAATTATATCATAATGGGGAATGATTATTTAATCAAAATAATGTACACAGTCTGTGCACAGAAGGAAGAGATGCTTCCTGAGAGCATTTCTCTTTTTAGCTTTCTTTTAGAACTGACCAAACAAAATTATATTAAAGTAGCAAAATTATCATTATATCTCTAAAGGTAAAATCTCTAATAATAAAAAAATAACAAAATTAACATTTTTGAGTACTTATGTGAAAGGCACCATTATAAATATGTGTTAATGTATTTATTTTCTAATAACAATGCTATGAAATAAATACATAACTCTACTTTAGAGTTGAGGCTAATGTCCAAGAAACCAGGTATAAGACAAGACCTAAGTCACAGTGTTTTAGAGGCCTGAGAATTACAAGAAATCTTCCTGCTTTTGGGAAAAACAACTAGAATCTTTCAAATTTCTTTCTTTAACTTTGCTTTCATTTCCTTGCTCCTTCATTCTTGTTTTGCACTCCACTAAAAAGTGCCAAGCAAAAATACTAAAAGTTTCTTGACTATGAATTTTATCATTGTCACTCAACTCCGCCACACAATTTATTTGAAAGATATTCATTCTGATTAATCTTAACATCTTCTCTTAAAATCTTTGACTTTTTTTTCCAAATCAGCTGGGATGCAGGCTTACCTCAACATTAAGAACTGCCCAAAGAAAACCAGAAGTCCAAAGAAACCAACTCGAGAAGAGCGGCGGTACATTAAGAGATGGGAATACTTTATTGCTGCAGAGGAAGTAATTTGGGACTATGCACCTGTAATCCCAGTTAATATAGACAGGTGAGCCGTGGGGATCTTACCATTGTGGAAGGCTCAAGAATTGTCTGATAGGATTCAACACATTTACAGTGAAATGTCCTGAACTGACAACTCATGCATTCGTTCAGATCTTCTTTTCCAAATCAATCTTGAATCAGCGAAGTCTCATTCATGGAGCTAAGCTTAACAGTAACAATAATAATAACAGCAGCTACTATTTGATGGATGATTGCTATTGTCAAACACTAAATAAACTTCCCAAGGGTTTTTCTTCATTCAATGTTGTGGCTATTTTTTAAGTGACAAAATGAATCCATGAGATTTAAGAAATTTGGAAACTGAATCACCTGATAAATACTTGAAAACATAGTCAAGCTTCCTCATTAAAGAAAGGTAAATTAAAACTTGACTGAAATGCCATTGTTCACCTCTCAGACTACATCTATTAAAGATACTGAAAGCTTCCTGGAATGAGAAAGTGTTGTAAGAGATTGAGAAAACGTCTTGAAAGGCAGTAACAGTATCATAGTTTAAGTAATAGAAAAGACCCAAAAAAAATTCCTAGTGTATCTTATATTTTGAGCCAATGGAGAATTCTCCCCGGAGATATAAGAAGGTCTCCCAAGGCTGCCAGAGTGACAAGAAGATCAAAAGCACTTGCTCTGTGACTTTGTTTCCAGATAATTAGGAACATCAGAACTTTGAAAACAATATGAAAAAAGGTTAGATAGCTAGTATGGTAGCCAACCCAAGAGCAGAACTCCCTCATCCTAATGAGCTTTCCATTTGAAAAAGTGGTTTCATTTTGTTTGTTTCATCTTACTTGAAGGAAATACAGATCTACGCATTTAGATAATTTCTCAAACCAAATTGGCAAGAATTATAAAAAGGTCATCTACACGCAATATCAAGATGAGTCCTTCACCGAACGCCTAGAAAATCCCCCTGCACAATTTGGGATTTTGGGTCCTGTTATCAGAGCCCAAGTCAGAGACACACTCAAAGTAAGTAACAATAATACCTGATTGTTTCTTTTAAAAATAAAAGGTGACTGAATCATTTGAAATTCAAAGCAACTTTCAGTTTTTAGTTAGCATTTACATTTTGAAGTTCCATCTGACATACTTTGGGCATGTTGCAAGGAGGAATCACTCCTTGGAGAGGGACATCATGCTTGGAAGGGTGGAGGGACAGTGCAAGTGATGAGACAGATTGACTTAGTAACTGGGGTAATGAGAATAGGTGTGTCAGAGACAATTTAATTGGCGCAAGTTAGAGCAGGGTTGAGAGCTGTTGTACATGGGGTTCATACAAGTCACAGTAGCACTTAACAACAACAACAACAATATCTTACTTCATACAACAAAGGAGCTGAGCCAGTTTATCAAATTATAAGAGAGTAAAACAGAGTTGATGTAATTGAGGAGAAAGATTATATGAGAATAGAGGAAATAAAGCCAAGGATACGATGAGCTTATTAAAACATGTTTGACATGGTTCTAAAAAGTCATTTGCAGATTTTGTCCTACGTTTTCTACTATTTGACGTAAAAAAGGAAATACATCAAAGCAAGATTTCTCATATTCAGAAGAGAAAAATGGTTTCCCCTAGCACTGAAGCTTAAGAAAACTTTCTCCTACGCATCCTTAAAAAGATATGTAACATGTTGCAATGGATGATCCTTGACCGAAACCTCACAAGTGCATCTCTCTTTTTATTTTCTCTTTGTATAGTTTTTAAAAACAATGTTTCTCATTCTAGTTGAAAGCCTAACAGTAAACACAGATAAGTGAAAACTACGAATAAAAGGGGACAGAATAATTTGATCGAGGTACAAAACTCTGATGATTAGTCTTAATCCAAAGATAAGTTTAAATATGTATAAAAAGTACTGAACGGTTATTCAGACATTTTTTCCAACTCGTCATATTTCCCAATATTTAGTGATATTCCTGTCACTAAGCTTTTGGTAAGAACTAGGCAGCAGCAATTTTTGGCAAGATTCTAGACTGCAGAGCACCTACTGATTAAGAAACAAGCCAAATGCTTTCTCAATCATCAAAGCAGAAGATAGGATTAAGATTCTCTTAAAAATCAAGGAGACTTATGAGGGCTTTTTAATATACAATGCCTCTTCACCTCTGCATGGAAATAGACTAAGGATAGCTGCAAACACTGCTTTTTATGTTTGATTAACCATAACAAAAGGTGAAAAGCTGTCCTTTCTCTGTTCTTTCTCTTCCCAACTTCTTTTTCATTTGCTCTTGTCAAGTATATAAACATGTGTCTTGGAAAGTTTAGAATCTATTTATCTGTGATCAAGAAGATAGTCTTACAGAGTAGCTGTGACGAGATCTGACAGGCAGGAGAGGGAGAGCTCGATCTGGAGAGGAGCATCTGGATCTTAAAAACGAGATGTACACAAGCTGAAAGGGCAGAGATAGAATGATGGGACCTATGTTGGGGTCCTGAGCAGGGGATGGACTTTGAAGGAAATGTCACCTTTCCTAACTTGTTACCAAAGACTTCCTTTACCTTTTTCATGGAAGGTAACTGAAACATGTGATGCTCAGGAAAGTGCAACTACTTTTATCATCATTTGTCCTAGTGCATACAGAATGCACTTATGCAAATGCTTTTGTACATATGCATGAGCGCGCAGGAGCACACACGTCCCCCATCATCATCATCCAACAAGTAAATGTACAGAAGTAGCAATCTGTAGTATTTCTCGTTGTGTTTGACCTTAAATCCTGAAATAATGACTTTTATTTTAACTTTCTAGATTGTGTTTAAAAATATGGCCAGCCGCCCTTACAGCATTTATCCTCATGGAGTGACCTTTTCTTCTTATGAAGATCAAGCTAACTCTTCCTTCTCTTCAGGTTTGAATCTTTCACTTTTGGATAAAACTTTTTTTTTTCTGAAAGTCTGCCACATTTTTCCATTGTTTTTCTTGGTGAGTAGAGTGACCAGTGCAGTCACATAAAATACATACAGTAATATCCTAAAAGTTATAGCCACACAGGGATTTTTGTCTACCTTCCAACTAGTCAGTACCAGTTGAAATAGCTGCTACTGAGTCAATTCCAAATTACAGAAGCCTTCTGTGTGTCAGAGTAGAACTGTGCTCCATAGCATTAAATGCCTAATGTTTCAGAAGTAGATCGCCAGACTTTTCTTCCCAAGTACCAGAACTTGCTCTTACGATGTTTCAGTTAGGAGTAAAGTACGTTATCTATTCAAACCACCCAAGGACTCCATGTTTACCTTACTTAGTTCCCACTGGTGTCAGGTCAGTTCTAACTCCATCCAGCAAACCTCCATCAGGTTTTCAAGGCTCTCAGTCTGAAGGGGAGGAGACTGCTCATCTTTCTCCTGAGAAGCAGCTGGTAATTGCAAACTGCTGACCTTTTTGGCTAGTAGCACTACATGCTGTCATCAGTGAAAAAGTCCTTCCTTGGTGAGATAGCGGCCCCTAGTGGAATAATATCTAAAGGCTATACATGCTTTCAGCATTGTATTAAGTTCAGTATTAAAAGAATAGAACCTGTCTCACCACATCCTCTCCAACATTTATTACTTGAATTATTCACCATCGCAAGAACAAGGAAACAGATGTCCAACCACAATAGAAGGGATGGAAAAACTATGGTACATTCACACAATGGAATACTATGCAGCACGCAGGAGTAATGATCTTATAAATCACTACCTAACTTGGGAGGGACTGGAGAGCATTATGCTGAGTGAACTAACTCAGTCCCATAAGGATAAATATTGTATAAAACCATCATTGCTGAATGATTATGAGGTTCCGGGGGGGGGGGGTGAAGGGTGAGAGCAGGAGTTGAGGATAGGTAGGGGTGGAGGGTGATTAAACATAGGGTCGCACAATTTGAATGGGAGGGGTGAAGGAAATGGGAAAGATCTGATGTGAAAAACAATGTATATTAACTTTGTAAATAAACCAGTTTGTTTTTTTTTTTAAAAAAAAAAAGACTAGCTGGGACTAATGAGAGTTGTAACATTTATTTGTTAACTATGAGATGATTTTCCAAATGACAACCTTACTGAGTATATTTTTTTCAGACCATACCTCCATGATCAGAGCGATTCAACCGGGCGAAACCTATACTTATAAATGGAATATCCTAGAATCTGATGAACCCACAGAAAATGACGCCCAGTGCTTAACAAGACCATACTACAGTGATGTGGATATCACAAGAGATATTGCCTCAGGGCTCATAGGCCTACTTCTAATTTGTAAGAGCAGATCCCTGGACAAACGAGGCATACAGGTATTTCTGTCCTTGAACTAACCTTGCAAAAATACCTTTAATTTCTTCAGGCTGGAACAGATTGCTGTTGTTGTTAGGTACTGTCTAACTGACCTGTACCATCCTGCACCATCCTCTCCCTCTGTGCTGTATACCCAAGCTCATTGCTTCAGCCACTGTGTTAATCCATCTCGTCAGGGACTTCCTCTCTTTCACTTACCTTCTGCCCTTCATGCTTGGAACAGACTAAGTGCTCCTTATTAAATAATAGGGGGTTTCCTCTAAAAGAAAAGTAATGTTAGTTTGTCCTCGTTAGTACTAGTGTGATAGTGTTTGTTCCTTGAGTTACTGACTTTTCTTGTTTATCTTTACCTGCACTCCAACTGCAGAAGGCAAATGTATAATGTAATGATACAGTTTGGTTTATTTTCCATCTACATCTATTAGTATTGACTGTGTGATCTTGAGGAAGTCACTTTTCATTGTTGTTGCTGTTATTAGAGGTCATTGAGTTGACTTCATAACTACCCTATGTAGCAGATGAAAACCGTACCCAGTTCTATGTTAACCTCACAATCTCTGTTATGCTTATTCCTTTGTTGCAGTCTTTGTGTCAGTCCATTTCAGTGAAGGTCTTTCTTTCGCTGACTAACTCGCCACTTTGAGCACTTTCAACCTGTTGTTATGTGCCATCGAGTCACTTGCAACTCATAGTGACTGAATGTACAATAACCCTGAAGCCTACTCTATCCTATGCCAACCTTATCTCTGACACACCTACCCTCATTACTCCAGTCACTGAATCAATCCATCTCATTGAGAGTCTTCCTCTCCTGTGCTGTCTCACCATCCTCCAAAGCATGACGTCCCTCTCCAAGGACTGGTCCTCCTTGCAACATCCCCAAAATATGTCAGACAAAGCCTCAGACTCTTTGCCTCCAAGGAGGAGACTGGTTTCACCTTCTCCAGGATGAACTTGCTTGTTCTCCTAGCAGTCCATGATATATTCAATACTATTCTCCAGCACCACAGCTCAAAGTCATCAATTCATCTTCTGTCATCCCTAGTCAATGTCTAGCTTTCTGATGCATAGCAAGTGATTGCAAAGACTACGGCCTACATATAACAATGGGCAGTCTCAAGCATAGATTTGAAGCACTGAAAATTAATAATCAAAGTCTAGATGAATTGTAGAATGATATTAAGGAGGTTATCCATGAAGAAAGCAAAAGGTCATTACAAAGACAGGAGAGAAAGGAGAGATCAAATTAGATGTCAGAAGAGACTGAAAATTGTGCTGAAACATGTTGTTAAGTGCCAACGAGTCTTAGGCAACTCCTAGAAACCCTATGAATGAAAGTCCTGGACACCTGTATAACTGTCATCCTTTCTCCATGCTCATAGGGTTTCCAGAGGCAAGCTATTATGGAAGTGGAATTCCCTTAAGAAGATTAAATAGCCTCCTATTATTAACCTCATTTTCTCAGACTAGGTTACAGGCTGAATTGTAATGAAGAGGCCTCATCAAGGTGTAAAAAAATTAACAAAACAAATAATAACCTGGTTTGGATGTTGAAAGGATTCCAAGCTATGATCATTATTAAAACAGGCTGTCACATCTCTCCCACAGAGAGATAGGTAGACTAAGGTAGAACTTTCAGTTTGCAGCAGAGTACATAACTGCTGTGCCACCAGAGCTCCTTATAAAAGACATATATACCTAGGAAAATTGGAAATTGGCACTTGACAGTTCCTGGGTTACTAAGCTATGGAAGTAAGCCAGTCTGAAGACATAAAAGGCTTTCTTGTGCGGCCTTCTACTGTATCCTTTGCAACTATGAACGCATCAAGCAAACCATTCAAGTTTAAGGTTTTCAGTTGCAGAAATAAGTAGACTTTCTGTTGATGTGGTGAACTACCGATTTTTTTTTAACCTTTTAGGATAGCTTTGTCTCTGAATCTTTCTATCTGCTCTGTTTGCTTTTGCATATTGCCTTTGCTCTAACATGTGCCTTGTTCATAATGAGTCCTTATTAAATGGTGACATTTGCTGCTTCAGCAGTGCCAAAGGCTTTGGCTTCTGAGACCCAAAGTCCCTTTGGCTTCTGAGAAAATCTTAGTATTGTAGATAGAATTTATTGGGATCACTGAACACATCACTTTCATCTTGCAGAAAGTAGCAGATAGAGAGCAGATGATTGTATATGCTGTATTTGATGAGAACAAGAGTTGGTACATTGAGGACAACATCAACAAGTATTGTGAAAATCCTGATATGGTGAAACGTGATGACCCCAAGTTTTATGAATCAAACGTCATGAGCAGTAAGTCACAGCACAGCTTTTCTCTATCATTTTTTTTTCCATTCCTATAATTGAGCAATGACTTGTATCTAGAGATGGAGACATGGATTAGAATGAACTCACTGAGAAGTGCCTCTAAGTAATTAGATAATGGACACATTGTGGAAAGTCTATTGAAAACAAATCACAATTGTCTCTTATTCTCACTTCAGTGCAAGGATCTAATAAAGAGTCCAGGGCTCAAAGACTAGTCATCACTGGGCAACCTCTAACTTCACATGTGTGTTTCAGGAAGCAAAGGATGAAGTTTTGGGTTGGAGGTGCTAAAGGCCCCCATCAGAGTAATATAGAGAGTCTAGACTGAAATTAAAGTTAATACTCATTGTGGCCAGAACAGAAACAAAGCAAATTAACCAAAGCTAAATTGTCAAATAGAAATAATGAAAAATGTGTATGAGGGTGAAAGAATTAGGAAAAATCCAGTGGGGAAAAGACAGGGTAATGGTGGGTATAGAGCAATGGTGATTATTTTTATAAGACACAATGTGTGAGAATGATTGTTTGAAACACAATGTGAATTAAAAACAAACAAAAAAATCAACGCAAAAAAGTGAGTATGAGGATGCAAAAGTCTCAGTAAGTCAATACATGAAGAGATTTATTAAAAATATACTTCATGAGGGAGCTCTGGTGGCCTAGTAGCAAGAAGCTGCGCTGTAATACTGAAGGCACGTGGTTTGAATCCACCAGATGCTTCCACTAGAGAAGGTGGGGCAATCTCTTCCTGTGCCAGTTGGTTCCGACTCGACAGTACACAACAAAAAGAAAAAAAATATTCTTTGTGTACATGATTGTAATTGAGTTCAACTGAAACCTCTTTGTTGTTGGTATTTGCTTCTGAATTGATTCCAACCCATGTTGACCCCATGTTTGCAAAGTAGAACTGATCCATAGGGATTTCAAAGTGGTGACTAAAGAGTTTTGAAGTGAGCAACAAGAAGTTCAGAATGGAAGAAATCCTGAGAAAAGGCCCAGGTATTTGTGGCAGTTTAAGACATCAATGTCCCAAACCACTGTTATGAGAAGTTTTAGCACCATTTGACAGGGTCAGGTGGAAGAAAACTTCTACACTCTAGACGGGTGACCCCGGCAGGCAGTCCCACCATGGCCGTATCTTCTGAAGAATACTCTCATACAGGAGAGGACAATTTGTATAGTGACCGAAGCCTGACCGTTGGTGATTATAAAAATTTGCAAGTATCATGACAATTTATATTAACACAGAGGTTATTATCAGCTTTCTTTGCATAATTTTACTTTGTCAGGGACTTTGTCATAGCACTTGATGAGTGCTGTCTAATAGAAAATAAAAAGGACCCACATGTGTAATTTTAAATGTACTACTTGACAGCAATAATATAACAACAACAATAAATTAGCCTATTAAAAATTAAAGAGAATTATATGAAACTAATGCTATTTGGTCTAATATAGACCAGATACTATTACCTTATCTTGTGCTCATTTTTTTTTCTTTTTTAAATTTTCATTGTGATTTCAGTAAAAGTTTACAGAACACATTGGTTTTCCATTCAACAGATTGTAGATACTGGTTTTTCTCCTTTTTGTGTCTCTTTCTTTTAAAATGATCTGTGAGCATAATACTAGGTTCATCAGCCAGTAAAATTACTCTTCAATATTTATTGGTCAGAGATACATCAGGGTTCAAAACAGCTAGAAATATGTGAGGAAATGTTTCCAAGATTACAGGCTGCTATGGTTATTGAGTCAAGCCCCTGACATGGTCTTGTGCCATCACCATGATTAGCAGACTACGGTGACCTACAGGGCTTATATTATCTGATGATTGCAAGTAAAAATCCAGGGCCTTTCTTTATGGCGTGGCTTAGTCCAGAAGGTCCATTATTTTTAAAATTAGATTTAAGGTTTTAAAAAAATCTTACTAAATAGTGGAAGTTTTGTGTATCTTTTACACAGACAGCGCATTTTAGCTCTGACTGCCCACAGTTGAAGCATCTGATAAATAACTGCGGCCAATTGCTGCCATATTGGGCAGTGTAGACCATTTAGGCAAAACCATCTGGAAAGATATCCAGAATGTAGAGCAAGGTAATAGCATATTATTTTAGTCATTTGATAAATATCTTATAAATGTGTACTAAAACTAGAGTTTGTGCTAAGGCCATGATTATGGTGGTGACCCTGGCAGACATGGTCCCTTTCCCTTAAAGAAATGTTTTCTATTTTGTTTACCACACTTACTAATAAGGTACAGAAAGAAACAGCTACTTTTAAAGAGGATAAATGTATAAACATGGTATTTTAATAAAAACTGTATTATCTATATCCAGGGAAGAAGGATGGGCAATCTCCTCCCGTGCGATTAACCGCCTCTGAAAACTGACCAGAAGGTCAACTACGGGTGGGCTCTGACTCTACGGTCCACAACAATATTGTCTATATGATAACAGACCATAAAAATTACAAAAATCTATTAAGTATGTTTCATTTTCAGAAACATTGCTTCTGGCTCAGTGACCAATGTGACAGGAAGATTAATTTCTTATGCTTTTCCTTCCTGTAGAATTATTCTGGTTAATAGTCACATTGATCTTTAGAATATCCATAGAGGTAGAAGATAGAGCACATTAGTAATGCACATTTGATAAATGAATACAAGTGAAAGACTTTCTCTGTACCCTGATATTTCTCTTGGCTAAATTTGAAGAATAAACTGTCCTTTGGGGAACTCAAGATTGATCTTCTAGTCATATGTTAGATATGGCAAAGTGTACCTTGGATAACCACAGCAAGGTGTTGGTGTGAGCAGTCAAACCAGCACAGGGACATTTATCTTAAGGATAATTATATGTCCGTTTGTTGGTACAGGCCTGGTGTTTTAACCAACTTGACTCTTTCAGCTATCAATGGCTATGTGCCAGAGAGCCTATACCCACTGGGCTTCTGTTACGATGACAATACCCAGTGGCACTTCTGCAGTGTGGGAACCCAAGATGACATTTTGACCATTCATTTTACTGGACACTCATTCATCAATGGTAAGAGGCATGAGGACACCCTGGCTCTCTTCCCAATGCGTGGAGAATCTGTTACCATCACAATGGACAATGTCGGTGAGTAAGAGCCTGGGCGTTTGGAGACAAAGTTGTCTTTTGAATATCTAACCTACTTAAAGGCCAGCTGTAGCTTTGACACTACCACTGCACTCTGATGCAGAACAGGCTTTCCTTTTAATAGCTACCATCATTTCTATTATATTGGGGAAATTAGTTTCTTTAATGGACCCAGTTTTTTAATATGAGCTCCAGTTAATCCTCTCTGATTGAGTGGGAAGTAAAGACATACGGTGGTGTAGCTTTGAAGAAGCTTACGCGTTTCAACTACAAAGAGTGTTTAGTCAAAATGTCCTTTTGTGGGGTGGTGGGGGGAATGTGCTTTTGGGTTTCTCAAGATCATCATCCATCCACTCTAGGGTAAGTCATCACCAGACACAGTGCCTTAAAGACTGGTCTTGAGAAACAGTGAGTGCATGGAACGCACATGGTCTTTGGAGTTTGCTGTGCCATCAAGTCAAGTATGACTCATAGAAACCCGATAAACAATTTATCTGAACCCTCTCCTATCTGGAGCCATTCTCATCTCTGACATACTTGAGTCCACTGCTGCAGTCACAGTGTCAGTCTTTTTCATTGAGGATCTTCTTATCTTTTCTGACTCTACACCTTTCCAAGCATGATGTCTCTTTCCAAGGAACAGCCTCTTCTAGCAGCATGTCCAAAGTCTGTGAAAAGAAGCTTAGTCATTCTTAGTCCAAGGAGTATTCTGGATGCGTTTTTTCTTCAAGTTTAGTCTTTTGGCAATCGATGGGATATTTAGTACCCTTCTACAATACAACTCAAAGGCATCAATTCTTTTGTAATCCTGATTCATTGTCTGGCTCTCAGAGGCACAAGTGATTGAAATGAAATGACCATTGCCTGAATTAGGTGCACCTTAATCTTCAAAATGACATCTTTGCTTCTCTGTCATTTAGAGAGGTCTCTGACAGTTCACAATGTTGTTATTGGTGTGTGCCATCAAGTCACTTGTGACCCATAGCAATCCTATGTACGATAGTTCTGAACCCTGCTCTATCCTAAGCCAACCTTATTATCTCTGACACACCTACCTGCATTACCCCAGTCACTGAGACAATACATCTTATCTAGGGTCTTCCTTTCCTGTGCTGTCCCTCCAGCCTCCCAAGCATGACATCCCTCTCCAAAGGCTTGTCCCTCCTCGCAGCATGTCCAATGTCAGACAGAGCTTCAGTATCCTTTCCTCCAAGGAGCAGCCTGGTTTCACCCTCTCTTGGATGAACCTGTTTGTTCTAGCAGTCCATAGTATATTCATAACACTTCTCCATCACAACAGCTCAAAGGCATCAGTTCTCCTTCTGTCATCCCTAGTCATTCTCCCATGCATCAGCTTTCCAATGAATAGCATGTAATTGCAAAGACTATGGCCTGGATCAGGCACACCGTAGTCTCCAGACTGACACTGTTGTTCTTCGGTACTCTGGAAAGATCCCTGACAGCCGACTTTCCCAGTGCAATTAATCTTTTTATTTCCTCACTGCTGGTACGAAGAGTGTTGATTGTGAAGCCAAGCAAACTGAAGCTGTTAACAACCTCATCCCTCCACCATCTATCTTGATGCTGTCAATCAGCCGAGTGGTGAGAATTTTTGTCTTATTGATGTTGACCTTCAATCTATATTGAAGGCTGCAGTCCTTGACTTTCTGCAGCAAATACCTCAGGTCCTACTGAGTTTCAGCATGCAAGGTTGTGTTACCTGCATAACATAGATTGTTGATGAGTCTTCCTCTAATCCTGATGCCACGTTTCTCTTCATAGAGCCTACCATCTCGAATGATCTGTTTTACATATCGATTGAAAAGGTATTGGGATAGGATGCATTCCTGGCATACACCTTTCCTGATTTTGAACCATACGTGTTTCCTTGTTCTGTTCTGACGATTGCCTCCTGGTCCATGTATAGGTTTCACGTAAGCTCATCAAGTGTTCTGGGATTCCCATCCTTCTCAGGTCAGCCACAGTAAAAGTCAAGTGTACTAAAGAAAATATTGTTATGTTTGTCTTTAATTTGTGGGGGTAGACTTCATCACTACCTCAATTCTCAAGGACCCAGTAGGCAACTCCATGGAGAAAAAGGAGCAATCTTCTCCCATGCAATTTACTTCCTTTGAAAACCTGCTGAAGCCTCTTCTGACTCAACAGCAATGCTATGAGATTATGAGTTGTATTCATCTGACAAGTTTGTGATTTCCAAAATCTATTTTATTCTTGTCGTGGTACTAGGGATATTGTAGCTGATGTTAGATGATCTTAGCTGAAAGCAGGAAATACCAGAAGAATGTCTATCTGTGTTTCATTAATTATGCAAAGGCATTTGACTGTGTGGATCATAACAAACTGTGGCTGACTCTGAGAAGAATGGGAATCCCAGAACATGTGATCGTTATAATGTGAAACCTATCCTTGGACCAAGAGGCAGTCATCAGAACAGAGCAAGAAAACACTGCATGGTTCAAAATTGGGAAGGGCGTATGCCAGGGATGTGTCCTATCTCCATACCTTTTCAATCTGTATGCAGAACAGATTATCCAAGAGGATGGGCTCTATGAGGAGAAGTGTGGCATCAGGATTGGTGGAAGATCTTTTAATAATCTGTGTTATGATGATGACACAACCCTGCTTGCTGAAACTGAGGAGGACCTGAAATGCTTGCTGCAGAGGGTCAAGGACTGCAGCCTTCAGTATGGATTGAAGCTCAATGACAAGAAGACAAAGATTCTCACCACTGGAACAATTGGCAGCATCAGGATGGATGGTGAAGAGATTGAGATTGTTAACAGCTTTAGTCTATTTGGCTCCACAGTCAACACTCTTGGCACCAGTAGCCAGAAAATCAAAAAACTTACTGCGATGGGAAAGTCTGCTGTTAGGGACTTCTCCAGGGTACAGAAGAGCAATGGTGTCACTCTGGAGACTAAGGTGTGTCTGATACAGGCTATGGTCTTTGCAGTCACTTGTTATGCATCAGAGAGTTGGACAATGTCTAGGGAGGATAGAAGGAGAATTGACGCCTTTGACTTTTGGTGCTGGAGAAGAGTATTGAAGGTACCATGGACTGCCAAGAAAACAAACAGATTTATCCTAGAGAGGGTTAAACCAGAATGCTCCTTGGAGGCAAGGATTCTGGAGCTTCATCTGACATACTTTGTACATGTTGTAAGGAGGAGAGGTCCTTGGAGAGGGACCTCATGCTTGGGATGGTGGAGGGACGGCGCAGGAAGGAAAGACCCTCTATGAGGTGGATTGATTCAGTGACTGGAGTAATCAGGATAGATGTGTCAGAACCAGTGCAATTGGCACAGGAGAGTAGGGTTTAGGGCTGTTGTACACAGGGTTGCTATGAGTCACAAGAGACTTGACGGCACATAACAACAACAGCAACATTTTATATTGGTTTCCTTACAAAGTTAATATACATTGTGTTTCATACAATCTTTCCCATTATGTTTTATAAATTAATCACCATTGGACTGTTCCCACCATTACCTGTCATTTCAGGTCCTCACTGGATCTTTCTCATTTTCTTTATCTCCTTCCTCCACCCACTAAACTGTGTAATCCTGTGCCTTTACCCCTACCCATCCTCACCCTTCTGTTCCCATCCCTTCCACCCTTCAGTCCCAATACATGTTTTACTAGTCATCCTTCTATTTTACAATTATGGTATTATGCAGTATTTGTCCTTGAGAGACTGCATTTGTTCACTCAGCACAATGCTCTCCAGACTCTCCCAAGTTATGTAATATTTTTCAAAATCATTGCTCCTGAGTGCTGCATAGTATTTCATTGGGTGAATGTATCACAATTTCTCAATCTACTAGATTGTGGTTGGACTTTTGGGCTGTTTCCATGTTCTTGCAATGGTTAATAAAGCCGTTATGAATATTGTCAAGTTTATTTGAAGAGGAAAGAGACCCCAAATAAGCAAAGCACTTCTGAAAACCAAAAATAAAGTGGGAGGCATAACACTCCATGACCTCAAAAGCTACTATTGTTTTTTTTGTTGTTGTTGTTGTTATGTGCCGTTGAATCATGATTCATGGCAACCCTATGTACAACAGCTCTGAAGCCTGCCTAAGCCAGTGACACTGGCTCTGACACACCTACCCCCATGACTCTAGTCATGTATCAATCCATATCATCCAGGGTTTTCCTCTCCTGCACAGTCTCTCTACCCTTCCAAGTATTAAACCCTTCTCTAAGGATTGGTCCCTCCTGGTCCCATGTCCAAAGTATGTGAGGCAGAGTTTCAAAATCCTAGCCTTCAAGGAGAAACTGGGTTTCATGCTCTCCAAGACGGACCTATTTGTTTACTTGGCAGTCTATGGTATGTTCAAGACTCTTCTCCAGGACCACAAGTGAAAAGCATCAATTCTTCTTCTGTCATCCTTAGTCAGTGTCCATCTCACTGATACATAACAAGTAATTGCAAAGACCATGTCCTGGATCAGGTGCACTTTAATCTCTAGACTAACATCGTTGCTTCTCAGTACTCTGGTAAGATCCCTGGCAGATTTACCTAATACAATTTGTCTTTTGATGTCCTGACTTTGGTGCCAAGAGTGTCGATTGTGGAGCCAAGTGAGCTGTAATTGGTTTTTTGTTTGTTTGTTTGTTTGTTTTGGGGGGAACATTCAGAATCGTTTTATTCATAGCAGACCCAAAGTGGGAACAGCCCAGATCCCCATTAACAGAAGAGGAGGAAACGTACTGTGTGGGGTGATCAGACAACAGGGTCCTTCTCAGGGGGGAAAGAGAAGGCAGCAGAGGAGGCAGGAGGGCCGTGATGCCTGAAAGCAGAGTGGACAGGCCTCACACAGGCCGTGCGGAGTGACAGAACCAGACAGCAGAGGGCACGCGGGGCACAATTCCATGCATGGCAGTAAGGGGACACACAGATGTCTGCAGGAAGTCACAACAGGGCTCTGAATGCAGAACAAAGTGTGCAAAGCGAGCAAGGTGGACGCGTCCTTGACCTTGATGGATGTGATTTACACAGGTGTCCACATGTGTCCACACAAAGCCCTCTGCGCCATTAAACAAGGACCTCTCCACTTACACAGTGGGCAGGCACTCCACTCACACCTCACGACCGACCCTCATTCCCTGACGTTTCACAATTACAGTGGTAATTGTGCATGGCCGCAGAGGTCCCTCCTTTGAGGGGGAGTTACAGGCAGCCTCGGGGAAGCTGGGCCACACTGGCTGGAGCCCCCTCCTCCCTCCTGCCAGTGGGGGTTCTGCATTCAGCTGCCTGGGGCTCCAGCCTCCTCCACGTTCCAGCTCCAGAGCACCTACCACCCTAGACGGGTCTTGGCAGCAGGTCACTGAGGGTGCAGACGTGGAGAATCAGAGGGTGCTCCTGGTAGCGATGTAGGCATGTTGTACTCGACAAGCACGGCAAGCCTCAGTCAGAGAAAAGCTCTCAGAGCTGTGGAGGGAGCAGCTCCCCGGAAAGCCCCAAGGCTAACGAAATGACAGGGGGACCCGTCCCAGCTCAGACGAGCCGCTAACGCAGAAAAGCGCTGTCCCTCTGCATGCTGCCGATCACCACGGAGGCAGCGGCTCATCCGAGATGCTCAGAGACAAAGCAGGACCACTCATAACGCCCATTTCACAGCACCTATCGTGGCCCTGAAGGGGTGATAACCATACGTCGATTTTCACCTGTGCAGCAACTGTCTACCCTCATCCGGGGAGCTGTACTGCTAAAACCAGAGGTGCCACCTCTCGCTGGTGTTAGCAGTTCCTCGGGAGGCGGGTGGGCAGCCTCTCTCCCTGTGATTCAGCCTCCGGAAGCCTGCTGGAAGGGTCAGCTGCTTCTGTTCCAAAGGGCTTCTCACCCCTGTCTGGAGTTGATGTTTATGCTAGAGCCCTCTTTCAAGTCAACACTGCTTCACTATCCTGTCCGCCGATGACCCAGAAAACACAGAGCGGCAGACGTCTGCTTCAGGCACAGGAACAGCACAGGAATCAGGGCCTCCCCTAGAAGTGAAAAACTTTGAACTTGGTAACACGACCTAAATATTTACAGGTGGCTGGCTCCACCCCAAGAGGACTCCAGCAGAATCCTCATGGCACCCACCAGTGTCACCACTCTACTGACAGCCTCCTAGCCTGGCCTTTGTGTCTGCACGCCCTGCCTCCACTCAGCCAACCATTCTGCGAACACTCAGCACCTGAAGAAATCCCGAGGCCCGGG